CGCCAAGCTGATTAAAATGCTCGCAAGAGGGGTAACAATGAGAAGAATTAGGATCGAAAGGGGCAACCCCATCCATCCAGCACCGACGAAACTCTTAACGCCCATTATAAAAAGTATGCCAAGAAAGAGCCAAATACCGAGCCATGCCTCCGACCTTAAGTGCGTCACACCTCTCTTGAACACGATGAAAACCATAAACCGCCCATAAGTGGCATCTCCCCCGTAGTTCACCTGATATATATATAAGTTCCATTGGAACTTCACTAACACATTCAATTTTTTAAATGCTCCCTCCCTTTTTTTGCTTTCTATTCGAACAAGTTTACTTATAACTTTTAAATTTTTCTGAATTACAACTTGGTATATAATTAATTGCCCGAATGTAAACAACAAAACAACTAAAGACAACTGCCAAGAGAGAGAGAAACATCGGTTTAGTGTCCTCATACACGAGAGCACAAGACGTCCCCGAAACCAACAAAGAAGTAAACATACCCAAATCGAAGCGTGTGTGCGCAATGCGTAGGACAGCAAGCTATGGCACGGCGAGGCAAAAGAGGCTAAGTGTTGTATACACATTAGTCATGTCGCCGTATAAGCTCATTGCAATTCCAGAAACAATTCCAATAAATGCCTTCATGGGTAGGAGTTAATGGGGTCCTTCGTAGTATTAAATTAAATCCGCCAACCATGCAAAACAGTCTGATGTAAGTAGGGGTGGGCACGGATCGGGACGGTCCAAGTTTTAGGTTGTCCCACGTCTTGTCCCGTTATATATAAACGGTCCGGAACTGTTCGGATTACAATCTTATCCCGATTTGTCCCATAAAACTCGGGATCAGAATAAACTGGGACGGATTCGGGTCATCCTACTTTGTCCTAATCGCAAATATAAGAAGGGGGAGAGGGTGACATTTCATTCAAAAAAAGAAACATCTAGACATCCAACAAAAAACAATGACGGGAACATGTTCAAATAAAATTCAAGCCTATGAAATTAACTTAATTAAATAACAAATTAATTCAAGAATGAGTGTATTTGGATTTTGGACTAGAATTAGTATTATATATTAATAGAGTGGATGAAACGGGACGGATCGATATAAGTTTAAGTTGTCCCGCTCATGTCCCATTTGATATTGGGATAGAACGGGTTCGGGATAAAAAAACTTGTGTCCCAATATATCAGTACAATTACAAAACGGATCCGAGATTTTTTGGAACGGTCCAACGGGAACGGATTTCACGCCCACCCGTAGATGTAAGCGCCAAGCTGATTAAAATGCTCGCAAGAGGGGTAACAAGGAGAAGAATTAGGATCGAAAGGGGCAACCCCATCCATCCAGCACCGACGAAACTCTTAACGCCGTTATAAAAAGTATGCCAAAAAAGAGCCAAATACCGAGCCATGCCTCCGGCCTTAAGTGCGTCACACCTCTCTTGAACACGATGAAAACCATAAACCGCCCATAAGTGGCATCTCCCCTGTAGTCCATTCACCTGATATATATATATATATATATATATATATATATATATATATATATATATATATATATATATATATATATATATATATATATATATATATATATGTTCCCTTCCTTTTTTTTGCTTTCTATTCGAACAAGTTTACTTATAACTTTTAAATATTTCTGATTTACAACATGGTATATCCATAATTGCCCGAATGTAAACAACAAAACAACTAAAGACAACTGACAAGAGAGTGAGAAACATCGGTTTAGTGTCCTCATACACGAGAGCACGAGACGTCCCCAAAACCAACAAAGAAGTAAACATACCCAAATCGAAACGTGTGTGCGCAATGCGTAGGATAGCAAGCCATGCCACGGCGAGGCAAAAGAGGCTAAGTGTTGTATACACATTAGTCATGTCGCCGTATATGCTCATTGCAATTCCACAAACAATTCCAATGAATGCCTTCATGGGTAGGAGTTAATGGGGTCCTTCGTAGTATTAAATTAAACCCGCCAACCATGCAAAACTCTTTGATGTAAGTAGGGGTGGGCACGGATCGGGACGGTCCGAGTTTTAGGTTATCCTACGTCTTGTACCGTTATATATAAACGGTCCGGAACTGTTCGGATTACAATCTTATCCCGGTTTGTCCCATAAAATTCGAGATCAGAATAAACCGGGACGGATTCGGGTCGTCCTACTTTGTCCTAATCGCAAATATAAAAAGGGGGAGAGGGTGACATTTTAATTCAAAAAAAAGAAACATCTAGACATCCAACAAAAAACAATGACTGGAACATGTTCAAATAAAATTCAAGCCTATGAAGTTAACTTAATTAAATAACTAATTACTTCAAAAATGAGTATATTTGGATTTTGGACTAGAATTAGTATTATATATTAATAGAATGGATGAAACGGGACAAACGGGACGGATCGATATAAGTTTAAGTTGTCCCGCTCATGTCCCATTTCATATTGGGACAGAACGGGTTCGGGATTAAAAAAATTGTGTCACAATATATCGGTACAATTACAAAACGGATCCGAGATGTTTTGGAATGGTCAAACGGGAATGGATTTCACGCCCACCCGTAGATGTAAGCGCCAAACTGATTAAAATGCTCGCAAGAGGGGTAACAATGAGAAGAATAAGGATCGAAAGGGGCAACCCCATCCATCCAGCACCGACGAAACTCTTAACGCCCGTTATAAAAAGTATTCCAAAAAAGAGCCAAATAGCGAGCCATGCCTCCGGCCTTAAGTGCGTCACACCTCTCTTGAACACAATGAAAACCATAAACCGCCCATAAGTGGCATCTCCCCCGTAGTCCATTCACCTGATATATATATATATATATATATATATATATATATATATATATATATATATATATATATATATATATATATATATATATATATACATACATACATACATAGATACATACATATATATAAGTTCCATTGGAACTTCACTAACACATTCAATTTTTTAAATGCTCCCTACTTTTTTTTTGTTTTCTATTCGAACAAGTTTACTTATAACTTTTAAATTTTTCTGATTTACAACTTGGTATATCCATAATTGCCCGAATGTAAACAACAAAACAACTAAAGACAACTGCCAAGAGAGTGAGAAACATCGGTTTAGTGTCCTCATACACGAGAGCACAAGACGTCCCCAAAACCAACAAAGAAGTAAACATACCAAAATCGAAGCGTGTGTGCGCAATGCGTAGGATAGCAAGCCATGCCACGGCGAGGCAAAAGAGGCTAAGTGTTGTATACACATTAGTCATGTCGCCGTATATGCTCTTTGCAATTCCACAAACAATTCCAATGAATGCCTTCATGGGTAGGAGTTACTGGGGTCCTTCGTAATATTAAATTAAACCCGCCAACCATGCAAAACACTCTGATGTAAGTAGGGGTGGGCACGGATCGGGACGGTCCGGGTTTTAGGTTTTCCCACATCTTGTCCCGTTATATATAAACGGTCCGGAACTGTTCGAACTACAATCTTATCCCGGTTTGTCCCATAAAATTCGGGATCGGAATAAACTGGGACGGATTCGGGTCGTCCTACTTTGTCCTAATCGCAAATATAAAAAAGGGGAGAGGGTGACATTTCATTCAAAAAAAGAAACATCTAGACATCCAACAAAAAACAATGACTGGAACATGTTCAAATAAAATTCAAGCCTATGAAGTTAACTTAATTAAATAACTAATTACTTCAAAAATGAGTGTATTTGGATTTTGGACTAGAATTAGTACTCCCTCGCTCCCCCATAAATCTTCCCAATAGCCCTTTTTCTTTGTCCACAATAGATCTTCTCATTTCATTTTTTAACAATTAAAATACCACAACTACCCCCACTTATTTTATTTATTACACCTCATTCACCTCATTTACTACACTCCACCCATTTTTCATTAAGGGTATTATGGTAAACTTTCACCTTTTTTCAACTCTCCTTAAAAACCACCAAAAGTCAAAATGAGAACATCTTAGGGGACGGAGGGAGTATTATATATTAATAGAGTGGATGAAACGGGACAAACGGGACGAATCGATATAAGTTTAAGTTGTCCCGCTCATGTCCCATTTGATATTGGAACAGAACGGGTTCGGGATTAAAAAAACTTGTGTCACAATATATCGGTACAATTACAAAACGGACCCAAGATTTTTTGGAACGGTCCAACGGGAACGGATTTCACGCCCACCCGAAGATGTAAGCGCCAAACTGATTAAAATGCTCCCAAGAGGGGTAACAATGAGAAGAATTAGGATAGAAAGGGGCAACCCCATCCATCCAGCACCGACGAAACTCTTAACGCCCGTTATAAAAAGTATGCCAAAAAAGAGCCAAATAGCGAGCCATATCTCCGGCCTTAAGTGCATCACACCTCTCTTGAAAACGATGAAAACCATAAACCGCCCATAAGTGGCATCTCCCCCGTAGTCCATTCACCTGATATATATATATATATATATATATATATATATATATATATATATATATATATATATATATATATATATATATATATATATATATATATATATATATATATATATATATATATATATATATATATATATATATATAAACACATACAATATATATATAATATATATATAATCTCTCTCTCTCTAGCACGCCGTAATTTCATGCCGGAAACCCCCTCCGGGGAGGCCTCTGGCCCCTCCAGGCAGCAACCTTCAACCTCTCCCTAGCTCCTCCACAACAGCCAACCACAACCCCCCCAATGCCTCCTCTACACCTGCAACCAAACAGGCCTTTTATCCGGGCAGCGTTCACCACAAGCTGGGCAAAAGCTATGCTGCAGCTACCATAGCAGCATCACACACTCTCATGCCAGCTGCTATCCCCCCAGAAATGTGGAGAAACACAAAGGATTACCTTGTGTAACCTTCTCTAACTCAGAGGTAAGTATCCTAGCCTCAAGATTCTCTAATGCCTTGGTTGGTTCCTTTTACTTTGGAAGACCAAGTCTGGACTTCATTAGACAACAACTAGAGAGGATTGGTCTCTAGCTTCTCTGTTACCCTGATTGATAAATCCCATGTACTATTGAATTTTTCTAATGAAGGAGACTATCATAGATGTTTTAAACGAAGGGAATGGATGCTGGGGTCATTCAAAATGACCATCTCCAAATGGAGTCCACATTTTGATCCCAAGTTTGAATCACCTATTCTTCCTGTATGGATTGCCATACAGGACCTGCCCATTCACCTTCATGCTAAAGAGTCCCTACTATGCATTGCTCAAATATTTGGAACTCCTATCAAACTTGATGCAACAACTGAAAATTTTGGGAGGCCTTCTCTAGAAAGAATTTGTGTTGAAGTTGATGTTTCGAAGCCACAAATCAACAAATTTGTTGTTCAAAACGGTGACCAACCTCTTTTCCTCACTGCCATCTATGAAGAAGTCCCCAAATTCTGCCAAGAGTGCAAGGGCATCTCCAGGCACAACCCAGGCTGTAAAAACAACACTCACACACTCATAACTGACCGGAATATTCCCCTGAAAAACACATCTCAGGCAACTGAAAAACCCCAAGTCCAAACAGACAAAAAACACTCAACTCATGCCTCTACCTCTCAAAAACAACCAAGAGTATACAGACAAATACCCCAACCCCACAGTCAGGCCAACAAAACCAATCATATACCTCCAAATATGCCCAAACCAACCAGTGCTAATCCATCTACTGCCATTTCTTTACCCTCGGCCCCCACACACTCCATAGCCATTCCCCACCCCACCCTTCCCTCAACCTCACTAAACAACTCCCTACCTTCAACCCATTCAACCCCTTCTCGCAACCCAAACCTCCCACCCCTTCCACTTCTCAACCCAACC